AATTAAATGCCAATTGAAGGTTCCCATAGTGTTCATATACAGAGGTTTTGAAGGAAGAGCAAATTATTCTTTTCTTCTACAAAAATGAAAAGTGTTCTAGTATTTGAATTCTGGTAGCTCCATCAATGTGTTAGGGCTGTTCAAACTCCTGTGAAGACATAATCCCTCTTGTGAAGAGCTAACTATCTGAGAAGACAAGTAGTCTATGAAATAAAGAGGAGCAGTATAAAACACAGTCAGAATGTATACGTTTCTCCCCCCACAAACACACACACACAATAAAAATCCATAATCCTCAAATACCCTTTTGACTTAACCAGAGTTAACTGGCTATATTCTTGTAGGCATTTTGACAGAGGTGGGTCTGGAGGAGAGAGATGAAGAAGGCGGTAGTGGCCTTCTAGAACAGTTGAGGGAGAGTATTCAATTCATAAAGGCAGCCCATTCATTGACACCTCTTACTCTTGTTTCCCAACAAGAGAACCCTGGGATATGATTCGTGTCTGTTTTGTTATTGGTGGGAATATTGGGTATGGTTAATTTTGAGACGGGGAGAGGGTGACTTAATGCAATATCAAAGCAAATTAGAATTCCAATGTTGTGATGATTGTTGGTGGTGGTTGGTTATGAATAAAAATGCCACCAAATGCTTACCTTTCGTCTTGTCCTTCTCTCGTGACTGCAAGTTCTGTGGTGTGTCTTGAACAGGATGGATGGCTTATATAAAGAAGAAAATCAATTTGAGCGGTGCATGAGACAATGATAAAGAAATAGGTGGGGACCATATGGTTACAGCTGAGCAAAAAGGCACAAGGCTAATGTTTATAAAAGGAAACTGGAGTTGGCAGTTCCACTTGAGTTCTGATGTGTTGGAGTCATCTGAGTGTGGTGTTCCTTGAGCATATCATGTGAATCAGAGATGATAGAAAGGTTGCCCACAATCTACTTAATGAAATGGTATGTAAATGTTAGAGAGGGTGGAGCAAAGCATCATTTCAGGAATATCACTGGATTTCTGTGCTTGGGAATGTCCAGACAAAGGTTCTAAGGAGAGAGACACTGATTTCTGCTTTATGCTTAGGAAATGATCAGCCACTTAATCATGATGGGTTCTGGTCTAGGCTCTGCTACTAACTCAGTGTGTGATCTTGGGCAAGTCAGTTAATATCTGTCTCATATATTCCTCATCTGTAAAATAGGGATATTTATTATCAAAACAACCCCTATAAGGTAAGACAAGCTGAATAATAAATGCTTTGAGATTCTTGGATGGAAGGTGTATACTATAAAGGCGCAAAGTATTATTAAACTTCATGTAACAAGGAGTGACGTCAGTTCAGAACTAGTCTTAAGTGTAAGTTAGTGTAGACATTTACTTCCTGTGTCTGTGTCCAGTACCAAACCCAAGATAACAGTGGGTGAGTGAAAGGAGGAGAGGGATAAGGCAAGGAGGAAATGGTATGGATTGCGTTTGTAGTGTGACTGAACTACACACTTCAACTGTTCATGTGGACCAGATAAGCCACAAAACATGCCATATTAAAAGACCAGTTTATGGGAGGAATTCCCCTTGAATCATCATACTTGGTGAATATTGACTTAATGTTTGCATCACCTTAAACCATTTTTCCTGCGCAGTGATTTCAATATTGTGATCTACAGAGAGCTGACTGGCCATTTGGCATTGGCTTTCTTTGTTCCCAGCTGCTGTATTTAATTAATAAACAGCAAAAAAAAACATTGACTATTTTGCAGATGGTACTTTACACAGAGCAGTTGTTGTAGCTACTAATGGTGCTATGCTATCACGAATGGAAGTGGGGGTATCTAGGAGACAGTCTTTCTATTAAGATGTAATCGACACTATGAAAAAGCTTGTGACTCCCCTGATATTACAGGAATCTTGTTTAAGTTCTCTGTGACCCACTGACTCAGATTTTATTGGTTCAGTGCTTGATTCTACTGAATTTCATAAAAAAAAAAAAAAAACACGATTGATGCATTACAGTAATAAAGTTAGAGAAATTGAATGAGCTCTAAGGGTATGTCCACACTGCTATTTTTAGCACTCTAGTTCAAGCCCTGCTCCTTGTCTATCTAGGGTGGGAGGCTCACTCCCAGCTGCAGTGTAGACATACCCTAGGAGAATCTTGTAGCCTTATGTTAGATAAATGCACATACCTTTACTCTACACTGAAAATAAATCTTGCAATTCCAACTCCACGTATGTGCCATTCCAGAGCAAGGTTAGTTTTACTTAAAATTGTCAATTCCTCTTACTGTGGGATTAAGCTTGTGTTTTCATATAGTTAACAGTAACACTGTGTTGCTGTGCTTGTGACTTGCAGGGTCTTTATATGGTTTTGTAGCACAGGTCATATGAGGCGAAAGCTGAGTCCTTTCCCAAACATAATACAACATATGCAAATAGAGCAAAATGAAGTGGTATCCGTGGTACCTGCACAATGTCTACTAACCAGTGTGTTTATCAGTGAAGCTATCTGCTGATCACTGCCACATGCTATTCACATGCCTCTGAGGTATTCAGTGGTTGATAGGACTAAATCAACAGCCTGATTACTGTAAATCAACACTGTTGACTTTCACAAAATTCCCCAACACACTAGTGTACAGTTACACATTAAAAGCTCAGCTACTTAGGAGGGTAAAGCTTTATCACCTGAAAAAATACAAGCTGAAATCTTATATTGTATGACTTGTTATTCTCTGGAAAAGTTAGCAGGATCACTGCTTCAAGGAGCAGAACCAGGCTTTAGTTTCCTACAAAAATACAGCCCACTAGTTAACATTAAAGTTAGGGTTTGTCTAACTCTTGAAAAGGTATTTAAACAAAGAATATGTTCATCCTGCTCCCCCTTGCACCTTCGAGTTTTTTCTTCCTCTTTGAGTGCCAACAGTGATTTACTCCATACAGAATGTACTGACGGGTTCAGGGCCCAACGACCTAACTCTTCAAATTGGTATATGAAAAAACTGTCTCCCTCGCAAAGCAAGAAAGAAATCCTGGCCCCACTGAAGTCAATGGCAAAACCTCCACTGATTTTATTGGAGTCAGAATTTCACAAGAGATGAGAGGTGCATTGCAGTGGAGGTTTATTTTTAAAAATGTAGTAATAAATAGCTTAGCACCACTTTGTGGGTTAGCAATGAGTGGCTTTGTTGAAGGAAGGAGTTTGGAGGAGGAACTTGAAACAGGTGTGCCAGGAGGAGGAAGAGGGGTGTTACAAAGGAGTATGGAAGAAGGCAATGAAGTGTGGAGAGAGTAAAGGGAGAAAGAAGGATAGCTAAAAGTAAGAGCAGAGAGGCAGATCAGAGTTGTGCTGAGCATTGAAGATGTTGACTAGGAAGTGTGTGTGTAAAGGCAGAAGAGAGCCAGAGGGCTGACATGGATTGTGGCAATGGACACACAACATTCCCCACATTTTGTTTTATTTATCTGGTGGCACCTTGAGGATGGGTGTATTTTGGCCCTGCTGTCCTGAATTAGTCATTCATTTAGCTGAAGACCCGGATACCCACTGTACATGCACAGACAAGCTGATGGCACATAACTGCTCTCTTAAAGTCAAAGTTAATAGCTATTCCAAAGCAGCCTTTCCAGAGACATTGTCAAAGTCCAAATCAGCAGTCAAAGCCTGAAAGGGACATCAGCTTAAAAATTACACTGAATGTTTTTGTACCTACTGTTACATGTAACCGCTATGATTACTAGAACTGAGAGAGAGTGGAGCAAACACATTTTCTCTCTTTTTTTCCCCCAGTTTGTTTACTTTGAGCATCTGTTAGCACTTCATTGGCCGCTGTCGGAACACAGGATATTGGGCTAGATGGACCTTTGGACTGACCCAGCATGGCTGTTCTTATGTTTGTATTAAGTCAGCTCGGAGAGGCAGCATTTCCCAATGGATAGGTCATCGGACTGGGATTAAGGAGTCCCAGGTTCTATGCCTTAGGTTCTTTACCACTGAAGAGCTGTGTGCCCTTGGTCAAATCACTTTCCTTCTCTGAGCCTCTAGTTCCCCTCCCACCCTTGTCAGTCTTGTCTGTTTAGACTGTAAGCCCTTCAAGGCACAGATGTGTGTGTACAGTCCATAGCATATAATAATAAATCCTTATTATAGTCAGTAATTCATCTGCTCTGTTCAATTTTTTTTTAGATACTAGAATAATGTGATAGTAAAACCACACAAACTGGAAAGTAAGCAATGGGGGAAGTTGTGTAGAATCTGAAACTTTTTTTTAACTATGTCTCTTTAAGTAGTTAACTGTGCATTTTGAATTTTTTAGGATTGCATGTAAGATTTAAAAGTTCCAAAATGTGGTCACTTTTCTAGGCCATAAAGAACACTTTTTTTTAAAATTGCAGAGTTGTCCAAAAGTGAGTGTTCAGTTGCAGAGCCCCCTTTTAGCAACAAATGGTTGTAGACAGGCCAGTGGCAGGCTTCCTCACCAATACAAGGCCCTGTGTGTTTTCACATACTTGCTGTTTTTGGAGGTGGGAAGAAGGAACTCTGCCAAAGTTGATGCCATGATTGTCAACATTGGTTGTACACCCTGAGTGTGCTCAGGGCTAAAGAAAGCCTAGCTTAGAGAAAGCCAAGGAGCTCTCGGGTTCAGTATTGAATCTCAGACATTTACAGGTGAGTAAGTAGGTTCAGCACACATAGCCTGGTTGCCATTCTCTCATTTAATTAGACGATTACATTGTTATAATCCCAGATTTACCCCACTGGTAAAAATTAACCACTACGTTGTGCTGGTTGGGATGGGGGCTAATTGTGCAGTTACCTTTAAGAATTAGCAGTCTGCACTGTGAGTGAAAAGTAGAGTAACAGTCTCTGGTTTCTGCAAGAAATATAGAGCTATGACTGAAAGTGGGCCTTTAGGCTCAGTCAGTGCATATCCGCATCAGATCATTGGTTTGGACGCAGGTTTAAAAATGTAGATGTGTTAAAATAATTTTTTTTCTTTCCCTACAGATTTTGGGTTTGGAAATTTCTATAAAAGTGGTGAGCCTCTGACCACCTGGTGTGGAAGCCCCCCGTATGCAGCCCCGGAAGTCTTTGAAGGGCAGCAGTATGAAGGACCCCAACTGGATATCTGGGTATCTTTATTTTATTTACTAGATTAAAATCATCTTTTAGAAATTAAGATTGTAATCACCTCTGAATTTCATTTAGGCCACAAGACAGGCTGTTCCCCTCTGGCTTTATTTTTCTAGACCAAGTCACAAAATGATCTTAAGACCCAATAGTTTTGAAGCATAGAACCTTGCTTTGTAAAGTCACTTTGAATGCCAGGTTGGCATTAAGGTTACATAGTAGGTGCACGTGAAGTCACTGCAAGAAATAATTTAGCTAATCCAAAAAGCTGTCACTGTTCCTTGCTGAATGTGCGGTGGTTCTTCGAGTGCTTGCTCATGTCCATTCCAGTTAGGTGTGCGTGCGCGATTGTCAGAAGGTTTTCCCTCTAGCAGTACCCGTCAGGTCAGCTGTGGAGCCCCGTGGAGTGGCGCCTTTATGGCAGCGTATATAGGTCTCAACCGACCCGCCACCTGCTCTGTTCCTTCTTACCACCAGTGACGGCTGTCACAAGTGCCTACTTAGCAGTCTTTCTTCAAATAGTTGTTGTAAATAGTTACCCATTAGTGTTAATTAGTTGAATAGTACTTAGCTGGGGGATCTTCCCCGATTCCCTTTCCCCCGGGACTAGGGCTTTAAGCCCTGTGAGAAGTGCCTGAAGCCTATGCCATGCGGCGATCCGCACGACTCCTGCCTCAGGTGCCTCGCGGAGGGTCATCAGGCAGATAGGTGCAAGATTTGTAGGGGCTTTAAGCCCAGAACAAAGAAGGAGAGAGACTCTCACCTGCAGCTCCTCCTAATGGAATCTGCACTTTGCCAACGGCCGGCGCCGAAGACAGCAGCGGCAGCCTCGGTGCGCACTGCACCGGCATCCGTGCAGGAACACTTGGCAACGAGGAAGGACTCCAATAAGGAGCATCGGCACTGCTTCCCGGCCCCGAGGCCCCCTCCACGTTTCGACACGTTCACAATTGCCGGTGCCTCATAAGAAAGCTATCAGGGGCCGCTCACCGGCACGGCACACCAGTGAGGTGCATCCTGTGTTGGGACACCCCAAACCTGGCCAGCAAGTCCTGTAGCCGTCAACTCTGGCTGTGACGGGGGATGTTGAGTCCGGTGCGGGTAGACTCTCCGGTGCCGGAGGACTTGGAGGGAGAAGACCTCCATCTTCCTTCCATACCGGACACATTGGAAGTGGCACGGGATCTGATCACCATGACGGCTCAATCCCTGGGCCTGCTGGCACATGCCCCGGCACCACCACCTACCACAGCTCCGACAATGACGGCACCGAAGGCAGCACCAATGACGGCTCTGCCCCCAATCAAACATAGGGGCAAGCCCACAATGATGGGCCATCACTCATCCTCGCTGCAGCACCAATCTCTGGCACCGTCAGATTCTGCTCCATTTTGGTCTGCATCTAAGTACTCCTCTGAGTTGGAGGTGGAATCCTATGCCTCCAGGTGGAGCCGGTACCGCTCTAGATCCTGGCGCCGTTCCCGGCACCACTCAAGAAGCGATGCACCCCAACCAGTGCCAATGGTGTCATGGCCTCCCCAGTGGCAGGGGCTGGTGCAGTGGCCCTTCTGGACTCCAGGGGCCTACCATCAGGCCCAGGGGCCGGACTCGAGGGCGACTTTGGTGGCCTCGGGAGCCCATCGGACTCAAGGGATCCAGGAGTGCGGGCTGCGTCCCTAGAGGAAGACCTGGGGCAATCCGACCCTTAGACGGGAGCTGTTGTCGCTCCACCCTTGGTGCAAGAAAGGACACCTATAGCTGATGCACCTGAAACTACCCTGGTGAGCATCAGGGAACCGGAAGGGCAAGAGGACCCAATCCCTCCCTGGGCATCTTCGTCCACCTCGCCCGATGAGGCGATGGCAGGGACAACTACCTCTCTGCCAGCAATGGACACCAGGGCCCATCAGGACCTCCTTCGACGGGTGGCGCAAAACTTGAACCTACAGGCTGAGGAGGTCACAGAGGATTCAGCCCCAATGGTTGATATCCTGGCTCCTGAGGAGCCCTCTAGGGTGGCCCTTCCTCTTATTAAGACCATTGTAAATATAACTAAGGTGCTCTGGCAGACTCCGGCCTCTGTCCCACCAACAGCTAAAGGGGTAGAACACTGATATTTTGTTCCACAGAAGGGGCATAGCACCTCTTCACCCATCCCCAGCCGGGCACATTAGTGGTGGACGCCGCCAATCACACGGAGCAGCAAGGACAGCCGGGTCCCACTCTGAAGACCAAGGAGGCCAAGAAGCTGGACCTCTTTGGTCACAAGGCGCTGACATGTGAGCCCCCTTACACTGTCTTTTATAAAGACACGGTGCAACTACGCCCACACCCTGCGTTTCTTCCTTTGGTAGTCTCTCAATTCCATATAAATCAGGACATTTTCCTACCTTTGTTCCCAAGCCGCATGCCAATACCAGAGATAGCATGCTTCATTCCTTGGATGTGAGACGCGCCTTGGCTTTCTATATCAAGTGCACAAAGCCATTTTGGAAGTCCCCACAGCTCTTCATCACTGTCGCAAAGAGGATGAAAGGGCTTCCCATCTCCTCCTAACGCATGTCATCCTGGATCACGTCATGCATCAGAACTTCCTATGACTTGGCCAAGATTCCAGCCCCGACATTGACGATGCACTCTGCAAGAGCTCAGGCATCATCTGCCACTTTCCTAGCTCAAGTGCCCATTCAGGATATATGCAGGGCAGCCACATGGTCCTCTAGCCACACCTTCACTTCACATGACGCAATTTTGCAACAATCCGGAGATGACGCAGCGTTTGGCAGTGCTGCAGTCTGTGACCAGATGAACTCTGACCCCTCCTCCAAGAGTATGGCCTTGGTAGTCACCTAATTGGAATGGACATGAGCAAGCACTCGAAGAAAAAATGGCTACTCACCTCTCCTAACTGTTCTTCAAGATGTGTTGCTCATGTCCATTCCAAATTCCGTCCGCCTCCCCTCTGTCAGAGTATTCCAGCAAGAAGGAACTGAGCAGGCGGCGGGTCGGCAGGGACCTATATACACCATCATAAAGGCGCCACTTCAGGGGGCTCCACAGCAGACCCAACGGGTACCGCTAGAGGAAAAACTTTTCAACAATCGTGCACATGAAGATCTAATTGGAATGGACATGAGCAACACATCTCGAAGAACAACACTTACGAGAGGTAGGTAACCGTTTTTCCTGAATAGGTTCTTTGTATGAATGTCCCTGCTTCACTGCACTGCTTCCTTCTCCTGCAGGAGTTCACGATGTAAATTGTTGATGAGTCTGAGTCACTAACACAGTGGGGAGGGAGCTGCCGGCTGCCCTCTCTCTGAGTTGAGAGAGAGAAGCAGCTATGTGTCCCGTGCCATTCTGCTGCAGGCAGATTCATATTGTTGAATCGGTGTATGTGTTTCCCTGCTTGCTGCTCTAATGGAAGAGGACAGAGAGAACAACCAAAATCGCATGAAGTGAAAGAGGGAGAAACATGCACCGAGCAGGGTTTTTGCACTCTTCAGTGCACTGTCAAACATGAGACTTTTCATTCTTTGTTTTTAATCTAATTTTAGTGGTCTGGTCTTGATGATGATGTGTCCATATCCTGAACTACCCAGATACCGTGCAATTCAGCAGCCTGTGCTTTGGTGCCAGAAGCACAGTGCTCATACTACGTAACATGTGAGAGAGGCAGATGAATTCATGAGTAAGAGCTCAGTTCACAGCGCATAGACGTTCACCTTGCAGCTGCTCATCTAAAGAGATCTGTGTTGTTTTCGTAAATGAACACCGTCCCCATAGGCACTCTTTTTTTAATGAGTAAAGGTTACAGCTTTGCTGAGCCTATTATCCTGTAACTGCCAAATGAACCCATTACTCTCCACCCATGCACAAGGTTCAGAATAATATGAGCGGTGTTTGAATGTGAAAAGTGAATTGCAGAGCTTTGGTAAATATTTTTAAAACTGTTTTAAGATCTTGGCTTATTAACAAAATCTCCTTGTAAACTAAAAACACTGTAAGTGTATTTACGTTTTAAAATAAAGCATCTGAAAAGCGGTTTCCTCCTTCACGTACTGCCAAGACCTGAGTTGTTGTGCTACAGTTGACAATGCTAAAGCAGCTAATGGAAATGGTCTCTAAAAAGCTGAGTTGGCAGGAGGAAGAAATAATCCTCAACTCAGGTTTTAGCAGATAAAGACATTGATTTTTAATATTTTTAGTTTTAAAATCTCAGTATGCTGACACAATTTTGGTGTGTGTTTAGAATGCTTTTCCTGTCTATTGAGGCACCTAGTGCCATGTCTACCTATACAGATTCATGTCCCTGGGTCTGGTATAGTCATTTAATTCCATACGGCACTATCTTCTCTGGCAAATGTAGCAAGACTGTTTCCACTTACTTTGCCAGTTAACACATAGTTTCAGAAATGAATCTGACAATTGGCTTAATGCTGCTGTTCTGGTTGTGTGTGTCTCTTTGCACATCTTATGCAATCTCTCAATGGGCTTTGCACTCAGCATTGCAGAATCACAGCCATCACAGTCCATGCAAACATCAGTGGGTTTTTTCCCTTAAAACTTTGCAAGCCAGTGAACAGGAGAGGTTGAGGTTTGTGTGTTCTGAACAACGGGAATTTGGGGTGGGTTTTTTGTTTGAACATATTCAGATGTAGTAAAGAGTGTCTTTAAATCTCCCTTGAAGTAGCAGCTCATTTTTCATGTATCATTCAGTCACCCCTATGAAGCTTTGCACTAGCAGCCAGAGTCCTTCGTCCATTACACACAGCAGCTTTACCCTGCTTATCAGCAAAAGGCACTGCAAACCTAGCCATTTTGGGTTGGCTAAGGGTTCTTAAGGTTTAGGGGTTTCCAGGTATATGACTCCTTTTTCTTTAACACTGTTTCTTGCAGGATGTAGAATCAACTTTAATTTTTGCAAGGATAGCCTGGGGTTTCACAAGTAAATCTCAGAGCAAAGAGTACTTATGTGCCTCTGAAAGGTAAAAGCAGGAATGTTCTCTGTCTTGCAGAGCATGGGTGTAGTTCTTTATGTCCTAGTCTGTGGAGCGTTACCTTTCGATGGACCTACACTCCCTATTCTGAGACAACGGGTTCTGGAAGGAAGGTTCAGGATCCCCTATTTCATGTCAGAAGGTAATATATTTTGCCTTATGCTTTGAGGATTTTAAGCTCTAATTAAATTAAACTCTTAAACTGCAGATGGTGGACAACTGAGTCATTAATGAGCAATGAATATGATTGTAAATGAAGAGGAGTGTCCCACTTCCTACCTCTGATTAGAAACAGAAAAAAATTCACAGATTCAAACAGCAAGTAGTTTTCATTCTCCAAGACAACAAAACAAACATTCATTTTAGTTTGGAAAGCAAATGCAGGGAAAACAAAATCCTCATTTTAGCGTAATGCAGATTGGGTTTTCCTGTTTTCTTTGACTGCATCTTTTAAACAGAAGCAAAAAAACAAATACCCCAAGAAGAGCTCAACAAACCACGTAACCAACTCATACGCCTGGGTGTCAGTCTTATATCTTTGGCACACCCAGTTGTTGTTGTTCTTGTTGTAAGACTATGAGATCTTTTCCTAGTTTGATTGATCCAGTTGTTGGGTCTTGCTTGGTCAGTCTTGATCATAAACAATGAGGAAATGTTTGATAGCGTAACCCCAAAACCGATGATGCGGGTATTGGCCTGCAGGCCGGGAAGAAGTTGCCAATAGTCTAGTCTAAATTAAAGGGATGCTGTGTTTTGAACATATCAAGTGGCTTCATAAGCGTTAAATGTTGGGAGATGTTTAGAATTAATGACACCCCTCCCCAGACAGCACATTCTTTAAATAAGTTGATTTTTTTTCTTGGTGTGAACTGAAGTCTTTAGCTCAAAAGATTATTTTAACTTTCAGGAAATTTATTTAGCACAAAAATTAGGTAGCAACTAGGACAGTTTCCTGTTGTTGCTCTTCATCAGTAGGTGTCAGATTAATACAGTGTGTGCACTGTAGCCTCTTTGCTAGGAGTTTGTAGCATGTTTCCTTTTTTACTTTATTTTTATCCCAACAGAGTGTGAGCACCTGATCAGGAGAATGCTGGTCCTAGACCCATCCAAGAGATTGACAATTGCTCAGATTAAGGAGCATAAATGGATGCTAATAGAAGTTCCTGTGCAGAGACCCATTCTCTATCCACAAGGACAGGAGAACGAGCCTTCCATTGGAGAGTATAATGAGCAGGTTTTGCGGCTGATGCACAGCCTTGGAATAGACCAACAGAAAACTATTGAGGTAAAATATACCTTCCACAGAGATATAACCCCAGAATGAGCCCATTCACTGTCCTGCTTTATTAAATCTAGATTTTACCTGAGTCTCTCTCATAACATTCTTTTTGTTACTCTTGCAACAAAGTCAAGCTGCTGTTGTATTATCAGTTGCACAGGCCCTTGCAAGAGAAGGCAAATTACAGAAACTATGCTCCAGCTTCTGGAAGGTTTAAAAATCTCGCAGTTCACAACAACTGCTCTAGCCAACTTTGGCCCCAATTCTTTGTAACTGATTAATAAAAGAGATCAGAGGAATGAGGATGTCTCTAATACCTGGAAAAGTTCTCTTGAATGCGATGGGCTTATCAGTGAGCTGGGCTTCTGTTGTGCAGATACTGCCAGTCATAGCAAAATGCGTGGGGCTTATGTAAAAAGTGGGACCTGGGGAAAAAATCACCAAATTAACTTTCATTTGTGCTGGGAATCATAACTGGACCCCCTGGCTCCAGAGGGAAAGGTTAATGAATTCACTCCACGTATCCCAGGGCCTCCAGAACTGGAGGTGGTTCTTTTATTAATTATTGGTTGTTGTTTTCATTTGAGTGCACTTGCAAACATTTGGGGTTGCAATTTGTTATAGTGGATCATAGAGCAAACTGAAATGCCTATGAATAATTCCTGTGGGACTTTCTGAGGCTGCAAAGCTTGTAAAGTGCTAGCTCTGTAAGATCCCCTGTTGGGATGCGGAAGCTTGCCGCTTATAAACCAACCCCAGCCCCCCCTCTCTCCCCCCCCTTATTTCTAGAGCTCTGTGTTGACAATAAAGCTGATTCTTAGGCAGAAAAACAAAGCAAAGGAGCTTGTTGGTTTCTGCTTCATCAGATTCACAGGGTGTTATTGGGGAAAGCATCATTTGGCATATGGAGAGGGGCAAAATCAGAAGCAAAATAATTTGGTTTTATGCTTCTGAAAGGGTGGGGATGTGAAATTCAGAGGAGAGTAAAAGGAAGCGTAAGAGCAGCGAACATTGACTGTCTTTCTCTCTTGGATTCCAAATCGTGCCTCTTACCAGAAATAAATGCTCAAAAGACTCCCTCAGGACTCAGCATGATCATTTCCTTAGAATGGCTGGTATTTTTAGTAAGTGTGGAGGCTGCACTATTAACACTTCTTGCCAGAAAGGGCTGAATGTGTGCACAGGCGCTCCAGGGATCAATTCCCCAGTGCTGGTGAGGATTTGGAGTAGCCTACCTCTTGTAAGTGAGGTCATGGAGCTTGCTCTCTTCAGATGGCTAAGAGCCAGTCTTAGAGGGCTCAGAAAGGCCTTTGGCTTACAGACACCAACTATCACTGCGGATAGGCACGCAGTGACCGCTAACTCTGGAAGCAGGCTTCCACATGCAGCTGCAGCGACTTTGTCTTTTTAACTTAACAGAACCATTGAGCCTCAAGAGGCTGACAGTCTCTGCTTTGCCATTCTGGCTTGAAACTTTCTCTCATCTGATTGGTTTCCAGATTGACACTTGCTTGAGATCCCCTCCCCCTTTAAGCGTTTTGTTTTGTTTTTGATAAAAGTGTGATTTTTCTCCTAGCTGCTTATTTTGTGGTTTTGGAGAATGGAGGGTTGGCTGCATTTAGACACTTGTTTCTCTTTTCAGTCTCTGCAGAACAAGAGTTATAACCACTTTGCTGCTATCTATTACCTGTTAGTGGAGAGACTCAAGTCACATCGGAGTAGCTTCCCTGTGGAGCAGAGACTTGATGCTCGTCAGCGTCGGCCAAGCACCATTGCTGAACAAACAGTCGCCAAGGTAACTCCTAATTCCAGGCAGAGATGGGACTGATCACTGCACAAAATGTTCTTGTTTCAGAAAGCTCTTGTTCCTAGATAGCTCTGTGTCAGAGGATCCTTCGCTTTCCTGTGTCTTCAGAATCCCTAGCTTTTCGGTGTACCTCTGGGCAGAGTGCTTTGCATTTGTTCTGTTCAGTACCATCATATGACAAGACAGTTGTTTGTGACTCATCCTGTTGAGTGTTGTGGGTCTTGTCAAATCATGTGAGACACTAGGTACCAATTGTCTGTATGTCTGCCTACGCAATGGGATGAGAACCCTTGGAAACTGGCCAATTCCCAAGTGGCTGGCTAATTTTCCTATTTCATTTTGTGAGCACTAGGGTCACTGTGCTTGGAAAGGGCATGTGGTCACTGAGAAGCCAGACTGGATCAGAACTACTCCCTGCAATGAATCACCCCAGCTTCATGGTCTGTGCACACACATGGAGTTGTCCTTCTTGGTGAAGGATCTTGCCTCCCACCTCAGGTGAACAAAGCAGAGGCTGTTGGCTCAGAGCAGCAGCAAATTGGACATGGCCTGACTTTGCACTCTGAGGCTGAAGCTAACAAAGATGATTTCACTTGTCCTCAGGGACAGGGAGTTTCATCGTTAAGCCCCAGTTCATTGCTTGAGTAGTTCTGTTTCACCCTCAACATTCCAGGACCGCTTTTAGGGGGCATACAAATAAAAAGTGTGCTGTTGAACAACTTTAATGGACTGTTTCTGCTTTTCTGAGGATTTGGCATTCTTTGCTGTCAGTAACTGATGTTTCATAGAATCATAGAATATCAGGGTTAGAAAGGAGCTCAGGAGGTCATCTAGTCCAACCCCCTGCTCAAAGCAGGACCAATCCCCAACTAAATCATCCCAGCCAGGGCTTTGTCAAGCCTGACCTTAAAAACTCCTAAGGAAGGAGATTCCACCACCTCTAGTGAAAAAGTTTTTCCTAATATCCAACCTAAACCTCCCCCACTGCAACTTGAGACCATTACTCCTCGTTCTATCATTTGCTACCACTGAGAACAGTCTAGATCCATCCTCTTTGGAACCCCCTTTCAGGTAGTTGAAAGCAGCTATCAAATCCCCCCTCATTCTTCTCTTCCGCAGACTAAACAATCCCAGTTCCCTCAGCCTCTCCTCATAAGTCATGTGTTCCAGTCCCCTAATCATTTTTGTTGCCCTCCGCTGGACTCGTTCCAATTTTTCCACATCCTTTTTGTAGTGTGGGGCCCAAAACTGGACACAGTACTCCAGATGAGGCCTCACCAATGTCAAATAGAGAGGAACAATCACATCCCTCGATCTGCTGGCAATGCCCCTACGTATACATCCCAAAATGCCATTGGCCTTCTTGGCAGCAAGGGCACACTGTTGACTCATATCCAGCTTCCTGTCCACTGTAACCCCTAGGTCCTTTTCTGCAGAACTGCTGCCGAGCCATTCGGTCCCTTGTCTGTAGCGGTGCATGGGATTCTTCCGTGCGAAGTGCAGGACTCTGCACTTGTCCTTGTTGAACCTCATCAGATTTCTTTTGGCCCAATCCTCTCATTTGTCTAGGGCCCTCTGTATCCTATCCCTACCCTCCAGCGTATCTACCTCTCCTCCCAGTTTAGTGTCATCTGCAAACTTGCTGAGGGTGCAATCCACACCATCCTCCAGTTCATTTATGAAGATATTAAACAAAACGGGCCCGAGGACCAACCCTTGGGGCACTCCACTTGATACCGGCTGCCAACTAGACATGGAGCCATCGATCACTACCCCTTGAACCCGACAATCTAGCCAACTTTCTATCCACCTTATAGTCCATTCATCCAGCCCATACTTCTTTAACTTGCTGACAAGAATACTGCGGGAGACCATGTCAAAAGCTTTGCTAAAGTCAAGGAACAACACGTCCACCGCTTTCCCCTCATCCACAGAGCCAGTTATCTCGTCATAGAAGGCAATTAGATTAGTCAGGCATGACCTTCCCTTGGTGAATCCATGCTGACTGTTCCTGATCACTTTCCTCTCCTCTAAGTGCTTCAGAATTGATTCCTTGAGGACCTGGTCCATGATTTTTCCGGGGACTGAGGTGAGGCTGACCGGCCTGTAGTTCCCAGGATCCTCCTTTTCCCTTTTTTAAAGACGGGCACTACATTAGCCTTTTTCCAGTCGTCCGGGACTTCCCCCAATCGCCATGAGTTTTCAAAGATAATGGCCAATGGCTCTGCAATCACATCCACCAACTCCTTTAGCACTCTCGGATGCAGCGCATCCGGCCCCATGGATTTGTGCTCGTCCAACTTTTCTAAATTAGTCCCGAACCACTTCTTTCTCCACAGAGGGCTGGTCACCTCCTCCCCATGCTGTGCTGCCCAGTGCAGTAGTCTGGGAGCTGACCTTGTTTGTGAAGACAGAAGCAAAAAAAGCATTGAGTTCATTAGCTTTTTCCACTTCCTCTGTCACTATGTTGCCTCCCTCATTCAGTAAGGGGCCCACACTTTCCTTGACTTTCTTCTTGTTGCTAACATACCTGAAGAAACCCTTCTTGTTACTCTTAACATCTCTTGCTAGCTGCAACTCCAGGTGTGATTTGGCCTTCCTGATTTCACTCCTGCATGCCCGAGCAATATTTTTATACTCTTCCCTGGTCATTTGTCCAATCTTCCACTTATTGTAAGCTTCTTTTTTGTGTTTAAGATCAGCAAGGATTTCACTGTTAAGCCAAGCTGGTCGCCTGCCATATTTACTATTCTTTCTACACATCGGGATGGTTTGTCCCTGTAACTTCAATAAGGATTCTTTAAAATACAGCCAGCTCTCCTGGACTCCTTTCCCCCTCATGTTATTCTCCCAGGGGATCCTGCCCATCAGTTCCCTGAGGGAGTCAAAGTCTGCTTTTCTGAAGTCCAGGGTCCGTATGTTTGTCTTTCTCCATCAACTCAACTGTGCTGCAGACTTCTCTGTGCTCCAAGTACCTTGAATGTAATCTGCAAATGAGCAGCTGAACTTTTTACAGGGGATTATTTAGAGATGAGTGAAAGGAATTTATGTTAGATGGGGCCTGATGGTCAGCACACTCTGTTTGGTGCTCTTACACACACAGGACCCTTTGAAAATTAACCCTAACTTTCCCCACTGCTTTTCTTGAGCTATGCATTATATTTGCACTTAAGTCTGGAGAAGAAGTGAGGTCATTCCCAAGACAAATCTCTAGGGTTGGTCTGCCTGATCTAGTTATCTAAGGTACCTATTCACTCTGATATCTAAGCAGCAGATATCATTGTCTTCATATACTTAGTGCCTCAAGGGTGTGTATATCTGTCACTAAATACAAAAGTTTCTGCTGAGCCCAGCATGAGGATCTCCTGAGATGCATGTGGTCAGGAGTCTAGTTTTGCTAGCAATCCCGTAGCACAGGTGGCTGAGTACTGTAAATAACTCCTTTGAGGTTTTCCAGCACCTTTGTGTGAGTAGACCCAGTATGACTGCTAACTAATTGATTTGAGTCTCAAAGATGTCACATGCATTTTACCAACACTCACAAGAACAGCATCTCTGAGCTTACTGCTCAGACACTGGCCTCTACATTCCAGGAGGCTATCTACTCAGTATCTTCTTCAGTTATGCATCCAAAACTGATGGATTCAGTACAGGCTCTGGGGCACTCTTGCCATTTGTCACTTTATTCCCTAGTTACTTTCTCCAAACAGAAAAGTCATGTACAGTTTATCGTGTTTTGTTCCAATAATTCCCTTAGAGTTCCTTTTACATGCTCTCCGATTGTTTCATTAAAGTGCAAAAATATTGCCTGGATTCTAATTTCCATTAATGCCTAACTGAAAACATGAGAGGCATGGCCCTATTAAAATAATTGACCTCAGATGACTCATACAGTCAAGTTTTAATGGTATTGAATATATATATTCTGTCAAGTTGCTGGTCCCTTCTGTATGTTGAGTGCCGCTCTGTCTAGATGTGTCTGCATCTAGGCTACCAGGCTTCTTGCATTACTCTTTTCCAGGAGGACTCAGAGCAGTGATCGTGCTCTGGGGGCTAATTGTAAGACATTTTGTTTGTTTTGCATTCTCCTGAAGTGGAAGGTAGAATCTGTATCTGCTCTGAAAACACAGATCAGACACCGCTAACCCAAATGGACACATTTGCAAATCACGTGATGGTTTGAAAGTCATTCAGGCTGTTTGAGGAGATCTCAGGGACACAAATGATTGATGCTCGCTGTGTCTATGCTAGGGAATTTCACTAATATTCCCACCGATGCTACCACTTGTTCAGCTGTAGATAGGGGAGCCCTGGGGTAGAAAAGGCTGTGCAGGCTTTCTCGCCTTTTGACTAGCCTGTCAACATGTTGATAGTAAAATATCAGATATAATGGGGATCCCAAGTGTAAACAAGGCTCTAGTAGCTTCTGAGTCTGATTTATATTTTTGTATGGAACTTTGTTTTGGTAACCACTTTATTTGGTTGCTCAGCCCATGCAGGTGGAGTTACTTGATCATTCTGGGCCTGTGTTACACATGGAAGCACATAACCAGGCCTGACTATGATGATGATAGTGGCACAAATTTTTTTCCCCCAGACCTGGCTGACTATGGGAGAGCTGCCTCTATTCATGGTCCTTTAGGGACAGTGGAGGAATTTAGTCCACATAGCTATGATTCTGCTTTGAGGTGCCTTCTCGTTTCAATGTGTTGCAACATGGTATGCCCAGTTCCCATGAAAACTAACCCTCAGTTGCTTACTGAGGCAGAATATGTTACCTTAGATCAGGTAACGTGCTTAAATTCAGTTCTCATCCATGGCATTCGGTATACCCCATGAGTCACACCAATCTCAGCCATGGCATTAGTCCCCTTATAAAGAGAATCCCCACTTTGATTTTGCCATTTGTCTGAGGATTTCAAGGGGGCGGGGGGGGGGAATTCTGGCCCCAGTGAAGTTAATGGCAAAACTCTCATTGACTTGAGTGCACCCAGAATTTCACCCCAGATACTCTGAGAAGTTGTTTCTTTTATCTCCTCCAGGCTGGACTCTGTGAATTTCCCACACAAAATTGCATACTCCCACATAGATCTTATTTTAAATTATTTTAGGAACAAATTCCATTATAAAAAAATCTGGTCAACCTGTAACTATGAGGCATCAGCTGAGATGGTGGAGACTGCCAGAGGAAAAAAAGAAAAATCACAGAATGACCCCTTCATGTCTTTAGTATGAAGCAGTCCTCTGTTTTATTACTACAGTTACCTAATGTTTGCATAGGTGCAGTGTCTTGGGCACAAAGATAGTCTCTGTCCTCTATATCCTTACTATATTCAATTTTATGCAGCATTATAATATAGATCAGTGCAGTTTGATTTTCACAGACAGGTTGTGTGGACCCTCAACTCTTTTGTTCCAGTCCATTTTCATGTAACTGTCAGTTTCCCCGATTTCACCACATTTGCCTGGAGTTTGGTGCCCCTTTGCTTTCAATACTATGTTTTCCAGGAGATAATTCCTGTCTAAAGGTGCCTGACTTCACAGCTGAATCCTTCCCATTCCTTTCTATGTCTTGTTCCACAGGGGGTCAGCGGGTGGGATGATCTTTAGACAGTCACAATCAGCTTAAAATAGCCATTTGCCTCATTTTAACACAGATTTCTTATACAAATAAAGCTTTTTAAACGAGACTTTAAAACATTTATCAGTTCATGACAGAGGAAAGGAACCATGAAAAGGATTTGTGGAACATGGAAAGCATGAGCAGTTTGGAGCATCTGCAGATTCCAAGCAATTTTCTTCTGCCATCTTTGAAGAGATGCTGTTTGTTCAGAAACGTAAATCTTTCTATTTACTAAATGAACTCTGAAGTCTAAGCCTGCAAGGCTATGTTTCTGTAGGAAGAACTAGGCAGTAAATCTCACCCACAGCCTTTGAGCAGGACTGTGTTTTTAATGTTAATGACACTTGTATGCCAATGACCTTGAAGGAATTTAACTCAAGCATGTGTCTCCCTTTATCCAACATGACAAAAGCCTAACTAGTACCAAGGCTTCCTCCTTATCATGCAGCAATAAGCAGAAATATCTACACTCCTCAGGGGAGCCCTGATACACTACCAGGTTTTGAATTTGCAATTATCTTTGTATTTTCATTGTTCATGATTCCTTTTTTGCCCTAAGACTGTTTGGTTTTATTATATCTCATAGACACAAGCTGCAGTGCCCCCAGTGAACCTGCGTTCACAGAATGTAAGGCTGCTGAGGTCTCCGGGCCTCCCACCAGCTCCAGAAGCCTTCTCCTTTCCCGCATCCAGCTGCCACGTCGAGTCAGCATTCATGGAGGAAGAGAGAGTCGATACCCCAAAGGTACATCTTATAAATTACCTCTCTTTCAATGTCACTAAAGCTTTGGGGGGTTGGTACTGTTAAATTATTGCCTGAAAGTAGCATTTGATACCAGAATGATCTGCACCTTTTCATTAGTTAATTGAAAGACCAGCACATTGGCTTTTAGGGCATGTCTGTTTTCAAGTACAGAACCCCTAAGAGAACAGGGCCAGATTCTTAGCTTTTAGAAGGTGGTGTCACTCCACTGACTTCATTGGATCAACCCTGATTCCTGCCAGCTGGGCTTACTGAAAGCTGTATAGTCTTGAGTGGGATAACCCTCCCTCTGCCCTCTCCAGTATATCTACTCTCCCTATTTGCCTCTGTGAGGCATTTAAAAGCAAAACTTATTCATCCTATCTTTGTATGGGTGATTTGGGGAAGACTGATTAGTCAGAGGGCAGGTAAGGCAGTCAGAGTGCACCATGAATTCCTTTGTCAGATGTTACCTCCACATGTATTATAAATGTGCATATGTCACACATACATACCCATACCACATATATGTATGTGAGAAACGTGACCAGTTCTAGAGACAAGAATCAGGAATTCATCATCCACCTTTGACAGTTTTACAAAACTGTGTCCTTTAATCTGTGTCCCTTAATCTGGCTCCCAGGGGTTTTAGTCTCACATTCAAAGCCCACTGAGTTGCCATGCTTTTTTGTTTGTTTGTTTTTAAACAAATCAATCTCCATAGATTTTTTTTTTTCCCCTCCACAATTGTAAAAATTGCCCTGAGGACAGTTGCTCAGGCAGGCGTTTTGCTTGTGCTGTTGACTTATGCATAGATGTATCTTTCTCTCCAGCTTAACACAGTGTAAAAATGGGCAATTGGATGCTGCTCAAACTTCCCAAAAACCCACTTTTGTGCGAAGTCCAACATGGGAAACTTTTAGTTGAAAGTGAAATGTTTTCTTTTTTTTTTTCCAGAAATGTAGATATTTGAGAACATGGAGCCTTAACCATAAGCTTGCATTACCAGCTAAAGCTATTAGAATTTCACTCTTCCCCCTGTCTTATGAAATACAGGAAAATTGGCAGACACAGGCACTTCAGTTTAAATGGACTACAGTAAAAAATTAATAAATACTCTTTCTTTAACAGTAAATAGCCAGCAGGGACATTCATACTGACAGAAAGTATTAGCAAACTGCTGTGTCTCAGCGGGATTACAGCTGATCCTCTCAGCAAGGCCATTTCTGTAACTAGAATTGTATATAAAATCTGCTCTGGAGACCATTTAATGCATTTTGTTTCCTGCAATCAGACTGGAAGATTGTGTAGGCTGCCTGCACCTCCACAGTTAAGACTTAACTGAACTCTGCTAATACAGTTTGACAATTCCACAGCTATACACGTGTGCAGTTACAGCTTAACTCTCTGAAGGGAGCAACAGCAAGTTTGATGTATTTTGCCATCAACCTATGTGTCTGTGGCAATGCTTTGTAGGGAGGCTGAAAGATGTGAACTGGCAGCATAGAGAAAACTCGAGTTTGTCGTCAGACTGAATTGTTCAAAAATGTGTTTATTCACACACTAACGTTGGCATTTGCACGTTTGTTACCACATTAGAAGTTTAATCTTGGCATTTTATATGCTGATTCAAACCATGTTTTTTAGTCCCTACTTGCCATTCTGAAGGATTTCTTATTTGTTGATGGTTAGATGTTGACAGTAGTATAGTACTTCGGACCTTTTTCATGTCAGTGATTTGACTAGCTCTGTGTGTGTGGTCCCTTTGCAGAGGAAAAGCTATGGATTCACTTTAAAGCAAATGGCCATCAAATCACAAGACTTAAAAGAAGCAGCCTTTGAAAATGAAAATCTCTCTTGCATCACCCTTCAGGTTTTTTGGTTTTTTAAATAAATGCCGCTTGAACAGAATAGATGAGCACACAGAGTACTTTATACTGCGGAGTCAGATCACACTGACCTGAGAATATTGCAATGGCTAGATATTACAGTCCACGTCCACCAGAGGTTCTCAAACTGTGGTCCATATGCCTCTGGTGGTCTGCAAAGAAATGACTGGCCATGTGGTGTTGGCTTTCCTCATCCATTTCAGCTGCTAAATTGCTATACAAGACAGCAAATATGTTAAATACTTTCCATGTAAGAAACTATTATTGCTACAGGGATATTAAGTGGGAGAAGCAGAGTTTTTACCTTGAAAAGGCAGAAGTGCCAGAGACTGCACAAAATCCACTACAGGGATAGGTGGTAGCATAAAATCTATGTATAGCTGGTCCACAGAATCACAAATAGGAAGGGAGGTGTCTGTGAGATACTCCTAAAATGTGACACACCCTATGGAAAGAAAAAAATTGTCTTAAAATATCAGACTGCAGATCCAGAGCTGTTCTTTATAAATACCAACACATTATACAACAAGCACAAAATATGTATAGGTGTTTATCTCATAAGAATGCTGGAAGTATTTCCCTAGAGCTACATCACACAGGCTGTTTGAAAACATATTTGTTTTCAAAATACTAAAGGATGCTTTATCGTAGATTAACTGTTCTGCAACACGTTTTCCCCTAAAACATTTTAAAAAAATCATACAGCAGACCCAAATACCCTTTTTTCATGTTAGAATTCTAACTAGAGAACCCTGCATCAGGGCTGCCAATTCATTAGATTTTTTTGTGCATTAATTTAGTGTTGATGAAAGTCCGACTAATACCATTAGTCAGCACAACAGGGAATGAAACTGCTGTGTAAACTTCTCTATTATAGCTCTGCCCATGCATCTCGAACCTGCTACTCCACTCCTGCCCCTGATGGCAGTTAGCTAGTTCTGACCTGCAGCAGCCTTACTCTGCCAATGCATGTTAAAAATGGAGGAACAGAATCCCATATATGAACAGGAGCCAAAACCACATGGTGTAGTGAACAATGGACCCTAACTCATTTCTCTAGGTGAATCTGAATCTAGATCTCCAGCTTTTTGTTTTGGGGTTTGGGGTTTTTTTGCATTATCTTACTTTGATGGCTCAGTTTTTGTCCCATGTGGAGTTGGAAAAGCTTGAGGTGTTCAAGAAGGGCATAGAAAGCCATTTTCCGTATTCAAGACTTGTTCTGTAAGCACTCTTATAACAATGGAAGTTTAGCTACTGTTTTTCTATCACTTCATACATTTCTGAATCTACTGAAAGAAATTACTTGGTAAATATTGAACTTTCTTGTTCAACAGTTCTACTCCCTTTATTCTGAGTCATATCAGCTGACTTTAAACTAAATTGGCACTGTTTTTGTTATTGCTGCTGCAGCACCATAGCTAACTCAGCTAACAGAAGGCAAACTGATTTCTCTTCTGGCTTGTCCAGTGGCAACAGAATGGTTAACTAAGTGTCCATTGCAGAATCTTTACTTTTGATGATGCATTAGCTAGGGGGGGAAACAGCTTAACACTCAGACCCCAGACTGAGTTGGCAGGGCTGAGATATGAAATGCCATCATTTTATTTGCAAACAGACCAGGTTTCTCAGAGTCGTTGACAGGAATGTGAAGCTCACCATGCCATTTTACAATGCTGCTTCTCATGGTATGAAAACCAGCTGAATTCAGGAAAAGCTCTTTGAAACTCTCTCATTCTGTGCCTGACTTGTAACATCAAATCTCGTCTATAGCCCTGTGTTAACAAATAAGCTGCCAGAGTCTTCCCACGCCCAAAGCTGGACGTGCACAAGTCCATGGGCCGGACGAGTTGCACCCGAAAGTGCTAAAGGAAATGGCGGCTGTGATTGCAGAGCCATTGGCCATTATCTTTGAAAACTCGTGGCCAATGGGGGAAGTCCCAGATGACTGGAAAAAGGCTAATGTAGTGTCCATCTTTAAAAAAGGGAAGAAGGAGGATCTTGGGAACTACAGGCCAGTCAGCCTCACCTCAGTCCCCGGAAAAATCATGGAGCAGGTCCTCAAAGAATTAATCCTGAAGCACTTACATGAGAGGAAAGTGATCAGGAACAGTCAGCATGGATTCACCAAGGGAAGGTCATGCCTGACTAATCTAATTGCCTTCTATGACGAGATAACTGGCTCTGTGGATGAGGGGAAAGCGGTGGACGTGTTGTTCCTTGACTTTAGCAAAGCTTTTGACACGGTCTCCCGCAGTATTCTTGTCAGCAAGTTAAAGAAGTATGGGCTGGATGAATGGACTATAAGGTGGATAGAAAGTTGGCTAGATTGTCGGGTTCAACGGGTAGTGATCAATGGCTCCATGTCTAGTTGGCAGTCGGTGTCAAGTGGAGTGCCCCAGGGGTAGGTCCTGGGGCCGGTTTTGTTCAATATCTTCATAAATGATCTGGAGGATGGTGTGGATTGCACTCTCAGCAAATTTGTGGATGATACTAAACTAGGAGGAGTGGTAGATACACTGGAGGGCAGGGATAGCATACAGAGGGACCTAGACAAATTGGAGGATTGGGCCAAAAGAAATCTGATGAGGTCCAATAAGGATAAGTGCAGAGTCCTGCACTTAGGACGGAAGAACCCAATGCACAGCTACAGACTAGGGACCGAATGGCTAGGCAGCAGTTCTGCAGAAAAGGACCTAGGGGTGACAGTGGACGAGAAGCTGGATATGAGTCAGCAGTGTGCCCTTGTTGCCAAGAAGGCCAATGGCATTTTGGGATGTATAAGTAGGGGCATAGCGAGCAGATCGAGGGACGTGATCGTTCCCCTCTATTCGACATTGGTGAGGCCTCATCTGGAGTACTGTGTCCAGTTTTGGGCCCTACACTACAAGAAGGATGTGGATAAATTGGAGAGAGTCCAGCGAAGGGCAACAAAAATGATTAGGGGTCTGGAACACGACTTATGAGGAGAGGCTGAGGGAACTGGGATTGTTTAGTCTGCAGAAGAGAAGAATGAGGGGGGATTTGATAGCTGCTTTCAACTACCTGAGAGGTGGTTCCAGAGAGGATGGTTCTAGACTATTCTCAGTGGTAGAAGAGGACAGGACAAGGAGTAAT